AGCCCCAGTGTCCAGCCTGGCCTTGGGCACTGCCAGGGATCCAGGGGCAGCCACAGCTGCTCTGGGCACCCTGTGCCAGGGCCTGCCCACCTTCCCAGGGAACAATTCCTACTTCCCAATATCCCATCCATCCCTGCCCTCTGGCAGTGGGAGCCATTCCCTGTGTCCTGTCCCTCCATGCCTTGTCCCCAGTCTCTCTCCAGCTCTCCTGGAGCCTCTTTGATCTAGGGAGAGCTCAGAGCTCCTTCCAGAGACTATTCTCCTCTCCAGGTGAGCACTCCCAGCTCTCACAACCTGGCTCCAGAGCAGAGAGGCTCTGCTGCTTTGATTTGTAGAATTTGGAGACATCCGCTCAAATCTGTCATTAACAAGCAGAAAACTTTAAAAATGCACAGCAAAAAGAAAACCACCTGAGAAATGGAGCACAAAGTTGGTAAAAAATGGTGAACAGGAGGGCTGGGCTGCTGCAGGGTCAGTCCTGACCATCTCCACCAAAGGATGCAGTCAGGAAAAGGCTGCAAATAAACACTCAGAGCTCTCAAATGCCTTTACCAAGGAAGTCACTGCCACACCACGACTGCAGACTGCACATCCAGACACAGGTTACATAAAAGTTATTTGTGGGGGCTACCCTTTTATCACTCAAAAGCCTTACTCAGAGAATGCCTCAAGATCTCTTGTAATTTGTTTAGCAATTGTAATCCTTTCCATTAGCCAGGGTTTAGAGGAAAAAAAGATTTGAACCCAGGAAACGAGAAGGCTGAAGTGTCCCTATGGCAAATCCTACCATTAATGACAGACGTAGTCCTCAAGAAGTTAAATTTAATTTCTTAAAGCTCATTTTAAAGTGTAGACTCACATTGAATTCTGAGACAGAGTAGCACAGGTCGGAATCTGGCCCAGAGCAGCTGCTGCAGATAAGAGCACATTTTTCATAAAGGAATCCCTCACCCTTTAAAAGCTGAAGCTTTTTTTTTGGAGCTGTTCACATCAGTTTGAACTGAAAGTCACATACTCAATTTTTTTTCCATTTGGTTAACATATCAATGATTATTCCTTCCTCCTTTAAAAAGTTCTTAGCTGTAGCACAAAGTTGCACATGACCCTTGGTCTGTAAACCTTAGGCCTTAAATACCTCATTGCCTACTGCCCCACTCCAACCAAACCCAGCTTCCTTAAGAGTTCCTTCACCCAGGGCCTACAAGGTTAGAGCTTCCACAGCAGCCCCAGCCTCCAAGGACTACCAGGAAAGGCTGGAAGGGTAGGATTTACAGTGGCTAACCCAGGGTGACTTTTCAGGGACCAGTGCCAAAGGGGCCCAGGGCCACAGAGGGACACAAACCGAACACTCTGGGACAGGCTTTGGTTCCTGTAAACTCTCAATGTGTTCCTATCACCCCCCTCTCTCTTTACATTGCAAACAGCCTGTCAGCATCATTACACTGCTTGTTGTAGAAAACATGAGCATCCATCTCAAAATTGCATCAACAAACATGCTCATTTGATTGCTTCCAAACCCATCAAACAAGGAATCAGGACATTATTATTGCTATTACTCATGCTTGAAGTTCAGAAATGTGAAGGCTAATAAAGTCATTCCATTCCCGAGGAATGAGTGTAGATGGATCTGTCCTTTCAACTGATCTCCCAGCTGCGGGAGATAATCCACACTAAGAACTGGTGTCCCTGTGATTAATGGCACCTTGCAGGCCATAAACATCATCAGAATTCACTTTCCCTGACAAATCCACATCAGGGGAGGAAAGCTGGAAGAAAGGCAAAGTGTGCCACAACTGCAAAACTCCAAAGTCCACCTTGTTCTTAATGCATTAAAAACCATCAGCACATATTATGAGATTTGGTAAACTCATGTGGAATTTGCTGTTGGATCAGCTACCAGGTAACACATTACCAATATCTACCCAACCCTGCGTCAGTTTGGGCTCAGACTCAGTGTGCAGAAGGCACCATCACCATGAGCTGTGAAACTCCACACTCAGCAGCTCTTCAAAAATCCATCTCTTCTCTAGCTCAGTCTGTAATAGCTATAACTCAGCCTGGCAGAGAGGTTCTGGCATTCCCCTGGAACTGCTGAATCTATCTGCCTGGTCCAAGTGCCTGCAAGAATGCAGTACCTGCTTCAAGCCCCTTGACAATACTTTACAAACCTGCAGAATTATGGGGGGGGGGAAGCTGTAAGACAAATCTCAGCCATGATTTCCATCAACAAGACAAACAACAAAAGACAGATGCAAAATTAAATGAAGATGAGCAGCAGAGATGTGAGCAAGGATTTATTAGATCCCTCTACAGCCTCACTTTGCCATTCCAGAAAAGGCGGACAATAAGGAATTTTGACTATCTGTGCCTGCCTTACCTGCTAGTGAGCCTCACAAGAGCCAATCCATGCAGAATAGATGAAAGCTGGACCCAAAACCATTTCAAATTAACTACAACGCACAAATCAGAACCTGCTGTTCCACATCCCATAGGCAGAGGGGTGAATACACAACAATGACATCCATAGAACTCCTGCTGGAAAGCGTCAGGCTCATTCCAGACCCAAGGAACTCTGAGGAGGAAGAACTGTCTGTGACATAACCCTGAAGATACCCAAGTTTCTCTCAGACTTACTCAGCTGTGTGTGAGCAGTTTAGATCCCAAAGCCCAGAGCACTTGGCTTTGTGGGCAAGGAGTCTTGTAGGACAAGACTTGTAGTACTTGTAGGTTAGGTCAGCGTAAAACAATAGTGTCACACCCATTTTACACAGTTCAGCATGCCATGAGAGTGAAAATGGCTAAAAACGGCCAAAGGCAGAACGACTCACCTGGTACAGGAAACCTCCCAGTGCAGACTCAGAGCCTAGAAAGGGCACGGGACTTCAACAGAGGTGCCCTTATGCATACTCAGAGCAAGCTCTCAGCCCCACACCAACACTCTCCCCCTCAGGATTTCATCTTCTGCAGGAGGGCAGTGTTCAACTCACAGCAGAACAGCTCTGCCAGCTCCTCCAAGGAAAAGGTTCAAAGGATCAACACCTGCAGGTTCCAGCTCCAGGTGAGTGCCTGTGCTCAGGCAGAACTGCCCCTCTGATCAGGGTGGCACTTGGGTCACAGCCACAGCAACCTGATCTGCACAGAGTCACAGTTACTGCAGAACACAAGCACACCCAACACTCTCCCTGCTCCAGCAGAGCACCAGGAAGGCTGAGGAGAAAGCAGTTTGGATCCTGCCTCAGCCAAGGCACAGACAGCAGGGAACTTCTCCTGCCTGTGTACAAACCCACACCACACTGACCTCAGCACTGACTTCTTCAAGGAACAGCAGAAAGTATTTTATTGCTGTGCTCAGGATTTATTTGTAAACTGGCCTATGATACGTGGTTTTCCTGGGTTACACTGCTCCTGGATCACGATGTTGCTACATTCTGTCTGTCTGTCAGGGGAAGCTCAATGCCAATTCTTCACAGGAGCGCTGGCTGTCACCACTGCCCGGCAGGGCAGAAGCACTGCCCAGGAGCTGCCGCAGCACCCCGCTCCCTTTTGGCCGCTGACCTCTAGTGGTGAGCGCAGGAGAGAGGAGACAGGAACAATGTTAATGCTCTCCATGAGGAACTGCGGTCCTTTCTCCCTCCAAAGGGAAGCCAGAAGGTTCCCCAGCCTTCCCTCACGAGCTGCAGAGCACAGGCTGATCCCGGCTCCGGGGCAGAGCCCTCTCAGAGCAGCCAGCCTCGCCCCATCGCTGTGGGGCTCCTCTCCTCACAGAGCTGGCTACAAACAGCAGCGTTGATTTACCTCCTTCCCCTCCCTGAGGGAAGGAACAGAGATCCTCATGCTCCCTTTGTAAGCTCCTGCTCTCCAAGCACACACCCTCCTGTGAGCGTGGCTTCAGGTAGCCCAGCAGTGCCACCTCAGCACAGAGCACCAAGGACATTGCTGTATTTTCACAGAGTCACAGAGCAGTTTGGATTGGCAGGGACCTGAGACCGTCTCATTCCACATCCCTTCCACAGCTAGAGACACTTCCCACTGTCCCAGGCTGCTCCAAACCCCGTCCAGCCTGGCCTTGGACACTGCCAGGGATCCAGGGCAGCCACAGCTGCTCTGAGCACCGGGTGCCAGGGCCTCATTTTGGGAAAGAGCTGTAAAAACCCCACAGTGCAGACACACCCACGGTAAGGAAGTCATTACAGTTTGGTGAGAAGGGCATGGACAGCAGCTCAAGGGTGCACAATGACAGCACCATGCAAAGGGCACTGAGAGCAAAGGGGGTCAGCAGATGGGCTCAGAGCACATCACAAGCCACCCCTCCCCACCTGACCAACAACGGCTCAGCCAGCAAAAACTGGGGAGCACAGCAAGGCCCTGCAGCTGCTCCCTGTCCCTAGTGCTTGGTATGAGTGAGGTCAGTGTGACACATCTCAGCTCAGACTGAGCACAGGAAAGGGACACCAGCAGAACCACTGGGAACAGACCCAGCAAGAGCCTGGGATGGAGGAGGAACTGGGGCTGTGTGACAGGCCCAGTGTCTGAAGCACAGACCTCACCCTAGGGCAGCAGTAAGCAAGGCAAGGTGCTCTGGCAGCTGGGTGTTCCTGCTGCACCTGCAGCTCTGCCCCTGTCCTCACACCTGCATTTCAGTGACAACCCACAGGCAGTACAGGAACAGGACCTGTGTTCAGCCACTGCACTGGGAATCTCAGTGCAGAGATTTGCAGCCAGATCCAGTGTTAGCTCTGCAAGTAGATCTTCCCTCAGACTGGAAGTCACAGGTTACCACTGCAGCATTTTCTTGGTGAGCAAGCCACAGAGTCAGTCTGTGACTACACCCAACACTCCTCCAAAGATGTTCTTTTTGGGGACAGGCTCTTCAATAGCTCATATTTTACTCTCCCTCTAACCAAAACCCACAGATTCAAACCCAGCCAGTTATATTTTAATCAATCCAGCTGCTCAGTGAACAAGACCTGACTATTCCATACCCCCTCTAACAGCAGTACCTTTGCTTTCTTCATGCGGCCCATGATATTGCCAAGATCTTCAACATCAATGACGGAATCTGTACTTCCAGTTTCCTCCTCACTACTGGTTTCAAACAATTCCTCTGCCTGTGGAAGAGAGAAGAGAAAAAAATTAAGAATTTATCTCACTGTTAAATGTAAGTCTAAGCTAACCAGTGAAATGAGCTCTCCTCATCAATAAGGACCACTCAAAACAAGCAATAGCCTACCAAAGACCTGTAGGATGGATATGGAACCCTGAACCCCTTTAAACCCAAGTGCCTTGCTGACAGCAAGATTTATTCCTCCTGCTCTGCAGCAGCCAGCACTCCCAAACCCAGCCAGAAGAACCACGTACTTTCCTATAAAATTCAACCCAGCAATAACTTCCAACCCACAATATATGGCTCAAGGGAGGATTAAAGTGCCATAGCAGCTCTGGGTCTTGCACTGGAGAGCAATAGAGAGGATTTCTTAGTCAAAATCTGCAATCAATAAACACTCCAGAAGAGAGAAATTATTACAGGCAGACACACACACAGGACATACAGGACTTGCTCAGGTAACACACCCCAGCTGCCTTTGGAAAACCCTGGGATGCAGGCAGAGCAGCTGAGTTTCACCAGGTTGAAGTGGAAGCAGGTTAATGACTCACAGGGAACTGAAGGGTCCCCTTGGCCCTGGGACAAGGTAAAGGCTCTGCTGAGAACCCAGCCTGGTTCCCTGGAGCATCTGTCCCCAGCCAGGAGCAAAACTCCCTCATCACACAAATGCCTGGCTCCATCACTAATTCTTTGGTCCCTCTTTCAGATGGCTCATTCTACTTGTTATTGCCATGGGATCTCAGCTCTCCTCTCCCCCTGCTCCAGAACAAGAATCAGGCTCCCACAGCAGCCCTCTGGACTGCAGGAAGAAGGGGAGAAGTCAAACAGTGCTCCAAATAAAATAAGGTCTCAAGGATTTTGGCTGTACCTCAGTATTGTCCTGTTCTGACGTCCCATGGTCATGGTCCCAGCTTTCCTTGCTCTGCTTCCCTGAAGATTTGCACTTTCCCTTCTTGCACTTCCCCCTGCAGGGCTTCTTTTCCCCTCTGCAGAGCGCCTGGAGTCGAATGAGGAATTTGGTTTTCCAGGCCTCAAAGTCAGCCTCAATGCTGCCGTGCTTGCTCCGGGCCACATTGCTGTCCCCCTCAGCCCGAGCCATGATCCTGCTGGCACTGAGCATCCACAGCCACCTGTCCATCCTCCTTCCAACCTAGGGCAGGAGGAAGGGTTGGAAAGGAGATCAAACCAGGACCAAGTACAAGCAGCCAACCAGAAAAGCAAGGATCAGCCCTGGGAAGAGCCAGTGAGCTGCAGGGCAGGAACCTGGGGAGTCCCTCTCAGGTTCTGGCTCAGCACAGACACAGGGCAGCCCGAACAGCACCACAGCCCCTCAGACTCCACTGGAAAATTCCTCTGCCATCCCTGGGGTGAAGGGATGGGCTCTGGGAACAGACTGCCCTGTGTGGTGCTTGTTGGTCAGAACGGTCATGTGTGTGACACACAGCCCCAGCTCTGAACACAACCTGTGACAAGTGATGCCATTTTTCTGTGTGAGATGATACCAATGACCAGACAGAGATAGTGCCACAGCTCACATCAGGGAATAAAGCTAAAACCCACATCATAAAAAGGAGCTACGTTTAGAAGGCAGCAAGAGTTTACAGTACTGTGCCCTCAGGTGATTGCAGAAAGCTTTCAAAGCTGGGAAATGAATTCAGTAAGGATTTACCAAATGTGCTACCACACTTCCCAGTGCCTGTGGGACTCATTTCCCATTTGAAGTCCAATTGCTTCAGACCTGAACTGCCCAGGTGGCCAAGAAGGCCAATGGCACTGTCTTGTACCAGCAATGGTGTGGCAGCAGGACCAGGGCAGTGACTGTCCCCTGTGCTAGCACTGCTGAGGCACCTCCAGTGCTTGGGGCAGTTTTAGGCCCCTCACCCCAAGAAAGAACCTGAGGGGCTGGAGCGTGTCCAGGGCAGGGAATGGAGCTGGGAAGGGGCTGGAGCCCCAGGAGCAGCTGAGGGAGCTGGGAAGGGGCTCAGCCTGGAGAAAAGGAGGCTCAGGGGGCCCTTGTGGCTCTGCACAACTCCTGACAGGAGGGGACAGCCGGGGGGGTCGGGCTGTGCTCCCAGGAAACAGGGACAGGAGGAGAGGGAACGGCCTCAGGCTGGGCCAGGGGAGGCTCAGGATGGACATCAGGAGGAATTTCCCCATGGAAAGGGTGCTCAGGCACTGGCAGGGGCTGCCCAGGGAGGTTTGGAGTGCCCATCCCTTGAAGTGTTCAGTGATGTAGTACTCAGAGCTCTGGGCTGGGGACAAGGTGGGGATCAGGCACACTGTGGGTTCAGTGATCTTGGAGGTTTTTTCCAAGCTCAATGGCTCTGAGATTCTGCCCATGCCCTAAACCGAGGGCCTCACCCAGTCAGCACAACATCTGCAATTCCCACACAGACCACCAGCCTCATTCAGGTTGGATGCACTTCGTGCAGCTGAGGCTCTCGAGGAGCAGAAGCCAAGCAGGGAGCTCGAGGGACACTCACTGTGTTGTAGTGATCCACATAGTCCGAGTTCCCCAGCCCGAACACAGCATATCTCAGGCCCTGCAGGAAGCTTTTCCCAACACGGAAGTCATTGGCTGCCTCTTCCAGCCACTTGCAGAACCAGGCTGCGCTCTCCGGAGGCTGCCCCTCGGTGTAGGTGGCCACCAGGAACACACAGATGTTCCTGCTGCTTGTCTGGTCACACAAACAGGACAGGAGGGAAAAAGAAATCACTGCATTTTCCAGAACCTTCTTCTAAAGCAAAGAGTTACAACAGCCAGGCAGCTGGGAGAAATCAAAAGACAAGGCTGTCTCCTGCTGGGGTGGGATGGCACAGGTGACAATCCCAAGGGTGCTGAACAACCTGCACGGCACCTTAAATTAACAGAGAGAGGTCAGGCTCAACAGGGACACAGCGACAGAGAAAAGTGGACATCCAGCCCCATCAGCAGCTTCCTGACCCAACTCCTTCATCAGGGAAGTGCCCCATGGATAAATATTTCAAACTCAACCTCACATTTACAGGCGTGTTAGGGGCAGTATCAAATGCTGGCAATTCCTGAAGGAATTCCCAGCATGCAGTTTCCAGCAAAACTTTTTGTTAGGATTAATTAAAACTCTCAAGGAGCAACTATCAACATTCATGGAAGAAACACCCATCAAGGATTACTACACATAAATATACCTCACAAGAAGTTTCTATCTCAAAAGCCTCTAAAGGCTGCAGAAGCATCACCACCTTCTTGTTCTGGTTCTAAACCTTGCCCAGGTGTACAAAGCACCTGGGGCAGCCACTCTCACCCAGCTCACCCCTGAGTTACAGAACTGGCTCACAAAGAGTCACTGTCACAGCAAAATGTTCAACTGGTGCTTTGAAATTCTCAAAATGTAGGTATTTTCTGCTGAGGGGTGATGGGCTACATTTGCATAGGCAGGGAAGCAATTCAACACAAAGCTTTGGGGATTCTCAGAACAACAGGAGAGAAATACAAGAGGGAAATAGCCTTGACAATCCCAGGAAAAACTTGTACTTATTACTGGTGTTTATGCCATACCCACCTCCTCTACTAACCCATCTTCTGGATCATAGTCTCCCATGTTAATGACTTCCACAGGCAAATTAAGGGAAGTAACAGCTTCAGCCAGAGCTTTGGCAAATCTCTGAACAAAGAAAAACTGGAAGTTATCAATTACTTCAAGCCACATGAGCCCTGCTGTGCCCAGCCACAAGACTTCTCCCAGCACAAGAAGAATAATGAAATAATGACACAGGAGGCCTGGACACTGGCACTGCAATTCCTCACATTAAAACAAAGATGGAGTACACTGGCTGAGAGTTACAACATTACAATGTCACAGTTACACACACAAATTACATTTCTTCATGAGAAAACACCAAACCCAGCACTTCTCTCTATAAAGCCTTGCTAGAAAATTAAAATTATAGCGCAAGAGTTAACTTCTAGCTTTATAATCAATATCTACTGCATACCTTGCTTAAGGGGAGGAGGAAAATTGTTATTTTTATTTAATTTTTCACTTATCTTGCATGTTGGGCAATGATTGTAAGAAGCTAATGAATGTGCTAATGAACTCCCAGATCTATACCCATGGCAGTGTTTTAAGGTAAGCAATGTTCTCAGATCCCAACAATATTTCAAAGCAATTTCACAGATGTGCAATAAAAGTACAGATACCTTTGCTGTGCCAGTCTGAGAGCCATAGAAAATCTTCACTCCAGCAACATGGACCCTCTGCACCTGACGGGGGGCACATCCATTTCCCATTTTGTCTGATGTTCCCTCGGGGGAAGAGGATTTCTCATGGGATTTCTCACCCTATGAAACAAGAGCTGTGTCACATGCAGTCCCTTCTCCAAGGGCTGTCAAGCCAAGAACATGTAAAATTCAAATCCTGGAGCCACTCTCAGCAACGGTCAAAGCATTTTGGTTCCTCTCATCTCCAGACAAAGACACCAGAACCCGTTTTCCTGACCTAAGTCACGCTACAATACCCACTTGTCTGGGAGGTAGCAGGATCCAGGTGAACCTCCCAAGTCCTGCAGCAGATCTTCACCCACCTGAAGGAGGAGGTTTTCAACTCCTGAATGGCTTAATTCCTCCCATCCCAAAACCAGCCCAACCCTGTCATTAGCATCATGAAAACAGGAAGGTGCAAACACTGGGCACAAGCAGAGGGGCTTACCTGGAGTGACAGAGCAATGCAGGGGGACACATTCTTCCAGGAACAGTGTGAGGTGTGTCCTGCTGAGCTCTGCCCCAACGTCAGAGCAACAAGAGCATTTAGTGACCCACAGACACAAACAAGTCAGGCTGAGGATCATAACCAGATAACCAAACTGCATCTGGGATTTGCAACACCCTCAGCAGGCCCACAGCAGGTGCCTTTATCCAATAACTACTCACTTCCACCCAGGTTTTTGGGGTCTTCTCAGAGAGAAGTGCTGACAGGCTCAATTACCTTCCTTTTGGTTCTGGTGGTGGTGAAATGAATGACAATCCAAAGGCTGATCCCAAAAGCAATAGCAGAATAGATGTAAAATCTGTGCAGCCATATGGACACCAGGCAAGTATGGAAGTAGCTCCACATATCCATTGAGACATCTAAAGCTGGAATGTCACAGGTTCCTACAGAGTGAATATGGAATGAGTACACACAAAATAATCACACAGTACCCACAGCCTCACATCATCAGCTATTGCCCAGGCTTTGCAGAAAACAGCTTCTTGCTAAAGACAAGGCACTAAAATTGAATTAAGAAGCCTTCACCTCCTCAAGTGTGTCAGATGAGCTCCAAGCTAGCATTCCATACTGTCAGAGGGAAACTCGGGGTTTTTCCTTGCTAGGGCAGCTCTGTTACGAGGAAAAGCAGAAAATACTTGTGCTGTCCAAGTCTCTGAAAGGAAAAAATCCTCGTGAAACATCCAGTGGATCATACTGGCTTTAGTTTTACACAAACCAAACAACTGCAGTTCTCTGGAATGAGAAAGCTCCAGTCCAAGGGGGAAATCACCGGCACAGAACGTTCTGCTGAACACAACCCTTGCTTACACACATTTGATGCCACGCTGATTACCAACAGAGTTTCAAGGGCAGACTGAAACATGGATTCAATTAGAAACACTTTCACAGAATTCTGTGATGCAAGTGAAGCTTGATTTGGAACCACTGAGATGTTTCAGGTTGGTTCAGAACATTCAGGGCACAGTAAGCCAGGGTACAGCCAGGAATGCAGCACCTGCAGGGTGTCTGGGAATATCTATTTCATATGGAATATTTGGGCACTCCAAAAAGGCTGGTTTGTGATATTTATTGACTGAGGAACACAGCTAACACCCTTCTACTGTCATCTGCAGTTTAGATCTTGTTTTTGCAGATATCAGTCGAGAGCACGGAATCCAAGTATTTCCAAGAGGCTGGAAACTCGTACTGGCTGTTACTCAAGTTATCAGAGCAAAGGCTTAAGGGGATGCCCTTCAGCCCTCCAGCAGCAACACCAAGACTCACACTAGAGAAGAGCCACGAGCACTTGCCCAGTGTTCCCAGTTTTACTCAAACCAGCTATAGGGATTCTCTTAACCTCCATACAACTTCCTCAAATGCAACAGATGCTACATATATTCAAGAGAATTTTAGCTGCAAAACAGGCACACACACACGTGCTCACTATTATCCCCTACACAACTACACAGCCCCTTATGGTTATCACCCCACAAACACACACATACACCCCAGCTTCGTGCTTATTCCTCCTCTCACGGTTAATGCCCCCCTCTCCCCCAAAATGCCCCAAGGCTTTACCCCACCTTCCCTTGCCTCTCACGGTTATCATCCCACCACCCTCACAATTATTAAACACACCCCACCTCAGAGTTACTACGCTCGTACACCACTTATGGTTAACAAAACCCTCACGGTCATTACCCTCACCTCCCCCCACAGCCCCCTCTCACAGTTACCAGCGCTCACGCACACGGTTGTTATATCCCCCGTCACGGTTATTAGCCCATACACACGCTATTATCCCACAAACTCGGCTATTAGCTCATACACACAGTTATTACCCCACAAGCACGGTTATTATATCCCCCCTCACGGTTATAGCCTCCACGGACATAGTTATTACAGTTATTACCCCACGGACACGGTTATTCTGTTTCCCCCATCACGGCTCTCTCCGTCTCTCTCTCACACACACACAGAGCCATCACGCCGTCCCCTCCCGGCTCCCCCGCCCGGCACTGACCCCGCTCCCCGCCCGGCTCCCCTCAGGCCGCCATGCGCCGCTCCCGCCCCTTCCGCCCGTGCCGGCGCGGCCGCCATTCACTGCCGGGCCGGGCCGGGGGCGGAGCGAGCGGCCGCCGCCATGTCCATCTTCACCCCCACCAACCAGATCCGCCTCACCAATGTGGCCGTGGTGCGGGCACGGCGCGCCGGGAAGCGCTTTGAGATCGCCTGTTACCGCAACAAGGTCATGGGCTGGCGCAGCGGAGCGTGAGTGCCCGGGGAGGCGGCGGGGAGGCGGCTCGGGCCCGGCGTGGGGGCCGGGAAAGGGCCCGTGTGGGGACCCGGGTGTGACGGGGTCGTACCGGGCACCCCGTGTGGGGACTCGGTAGTGGCGCGGGAGGGGCGCCCGTGTGAGGACCGGGAAGGGCCCGGGGTGTGGGAGGGGGGTCGGCAGTGACCGTGCGGGGACCGGGGATCGTGCGAGGCCCCGGTCCCCCGATCTGACCCCGGGAGGAGGCGCGGGGCCGATAACGGGAGCACCGTGCCCGTGCCTGGGCAGCGACACCTCTGCGATGGAAGGTTCCAGCTGTGCTGAGTCAGCCCGGGACAGCGGGAGCTCTTTCTCCTCGCTGAACACAGCTGTGCTCCTGGCATTGCTGCTTTTTTGGAGAGGGGCTTTGGGCAAGGCATGGAGTGCCCCACAAGGGGCAATGGTTTCAAACTGACGGAGGACCGGGATGGATAGATGGGATATTGGGAAGGAATTGTTCCCTGGGAGGGTGGGCAGGCCCTGGCACAGGGTGCCCAGAGCAGCTGTGGCTGCCCCTGGATCCCTGGCAGTGCCCAAGGCCAGGCTGGATGGGGTTTGGAGCAGCCTGGGACAGTGGGAGGTGTCCCTGCCATGTCAGGGGTGGCACTGGCATCATTCTGGGATTAATCTGAGTTTTCTGCATTTGTCTTAATCTCTAGGGAGAAAGATCTCGACGAGGTCCTGCAGACACACACAGTGTTTGTCAATGTCTCCAAAGGCCAGGTGGCAAAGAAGGAAGATCTGGTTAAAGCATTTGGGACAGATGACCAGACAGAAATCTGTAAGATGGTAGGTTTCACACACCTTGCTTTATAAGATGTGAGAAGATTTAATCACGCAGTTAGGTTAGTTTGTACTGAAGGGCATTTCTAGAATGCTGCTATAGGTGAAAGGGTTGCTTGTTAAGAAATGGGTAAAAAGGAGCTGTAGTTCTTTTTATAGTTTTAAATTTGGCATATGCATGTGGCTAGAAAGAATTCTGTCTAACACACAACTTGCATGCACTGATGTGTCTGGACACAGCCAGCACTGAAGAGCTCCTTACATAAGATAAGTTATTAAGAATGCAGAGAAAAGAAGGGGATAGTTGCTTACTTCGGAGAGCTCACTTAGGTGATAGTAACAGATCTAATTTCTTAGTCCTTAATGGTGGGATATGAACTATGGACTTGCTGTGGTTGATAAGATTTCAGTAAATCTCTTGAGTCAGCATTGCCCTGGCAGCCAGGAGGGACATCCCTCTCCTGGGGTCACCAGGCCCAGTATCAACAGCTGGGCTAGGGAGAGGATTGTCCTACTCTGCTCTGGGCTGGGGCGGTTTTGGGTGCCACAATATAAGAAAGATATGAAGCTGTGAGAGTCCAAAGAAAGCTACAAAGAAGGTGAAGAGCCTGGAGGAGCCATGCAAGGAGCAGCTGAAGGCACTTGCTCTGTTCAGCCTGAGGAGACTGAGGTGAGGCCTCATCAGGGTCTGCAGCTCCTCCTAAGGGACAGCTCTGATCTCTGCTCTGTGTGACAGGGACAGGACCCAAGGAATGGCTGGAGCTGTGCCAGGGCAGGTTTAGGTTGGATTTTAGGAAAAGGTTCTTCCCCCAGAGGGTGCTGGGCACTGCCCAGGCTCCCCAGGGAATGGGCACGGCCCCGAGGCTGCCAGAGCTCCAGGAGCTTCAGGGATGGCCAGGGTGGGATTGTTGGGGTGTCTGTGCAGGGACAGGGCTTGGAATGAGGATCCTTGCGGGATCCCTTCCAGCTTAAGATATTCTGTGAAATCTGTGCTTCTCTTGCTGCTGTTTAATGTTTCTGGGGTGAATTTTTTTGTCTGAAACCTTTCCAGTGCTGTCTGTTGTAATGATTCACATTATTAATTTGGTTATTGTTTGCTACACTTCAAATCTCACCCAACCTTTCAAGCAGCTGTCAAATTTAACAAAGTTACTCGAAGTTGTCAAATTTAACTTGTCACTCTTCAAATCCAGGATGTTCACTAACCGGTTTCTGTGGATAAAACAGATTTTGTCCAAAGGGGAGCTGCAGGTGTCGGACAAGGAGCGGCACACGCAGCTGGAGCAGATGTTCCGAGACATCGCCACCATCGTGGCTGACAAGTGCGTGAACCCCGAGACCAAGCGGCCCTACACAGTGATCCTCATCGAAAGGGCCATGAAGGACATCCACTACTCCGTCAAACCCAACAAGAGCACAAAGCAGCAGGTGAGTTTCCTGAGGTATCCTGCTCCGAGGTGCTGCCATCTGGTGTAATTCCTCGGGTCTCAGCCACAGAGGGATCAGCAGAGCCCTGGGCTCTGAGGCCCGCACAGGGATTACTCAGCCATCTGACAGCTGAGTGCTGGAGAGAAGCAGCTCCTGAAACTCAGGCAATTTGTTTGCTAAGAATTCAGGAAGGGGAGAAAGAAAGGAAAAAAGCCAACAGTGATACCCTTAGAGCAGAAATAAAAGGTTTATGATTTATGCTAATTGAGGTGGTATATCAGGTTTGCATCTGAGCTGTGTGGGTTTGTGGTGTTTTGCAGTATAGCTATTTTATTTCAGACAGCTTTTAAGTGTTCAAAGTGATCACAAACAAGTCAGCCTCTTCTTGTTCATCTGTCAAAAGAGCGTGATAGCAACCTCCCTGCAGCAGAGCAGCAGTGACCAGCACTGAGAGGTGGCTCTGAAGCTGGGGAAAAGGTTTGAGATTTGGATCTGGGTGCTGGGTTTTAAGCAGGTGTACAAATGCTCTTTTTCTCCAACAGGCCCTGGAAGTGATCAGGCAGCTGAAGGAGACCATGCAGATTGAACGTGCTCACATGAGGCTGAGGTTTATCCTGCCAGCAAAGGAGGGCAAGAAGCTGAAAGAGAAGCTCAAGCCACTGATTAAAGTTACCGAGAGTGAAGACTTCCAGGAAGAGCTGGAAATGGTAAGCAAAAAGCAGTCCCTGGGGTTCAGGTTTGATTTGAATTACACATATGTATTTTACTAGGAGATTAATTCATAGATGGAAGTTGTTCAGATAAACGGAAGGCTTACCAGAGACCCTGAATCAGAGCTGCAGTTGGGAATTTTTAATTTCACACAGTCTTAGTGATGTGGGCATGGAAAAGCAGCCTTTGGTATCCAGAGGTTGCTGCTCCAAGCTGAGGAGTGCACAGTCAATTCCTCTTAGCAGTGATGATCCTGCAGCACTGATAAGTTTCTCTCATATTTGGAATGTTACTGTTACTTATTTGGTGGTTTCTGTCTGGATTTTAAGGATGACTAATTTTTTTTTTTTTTAGTGTGTGGTAAAGCAAAATTTGGTATTAAAATCTTCATACAAACAGATTAGAATCCAGCAATCCCAGCTGGCAAAGGCCATGTCCAGCATGGAGAACTGGAACTATAGAGCTCTGTGGAAAGATTGCTGCCAGACAGAGTTTGTATACTCTTCAGAGTCCTCCTCAGTAACTAACTAGGATTGTTTTAATGAAAGTAAATGTTAGGCCTTGGGTAGGGGTGATGAAATCCAAACGTTCTTGGCTGACTCATGAAATGTGGAACATTCCAGGTGTGCCTTATCGACCCAGGCTGCTTCAGGGAGATCGACGAGCTGATCCGCAGTGAGACAAAAGGGAAAGGATCCCTGGAAGTGCTCAGTCTGAAGGATGTGGAGGAAGGAGATGAAAAGCTTGAATAACAAAATCTTCCTGCAGCAGATCTGCTTCAACAACCTCCCCGCAGTGACTGGTGTAGCCAATCTTCTGTTAGCCTTCATGGTTTTTTCCAATCTCTTGCTGCCAAATATTTTCTGACACTAATCCTTTGGGATTTTTCCATGCAGTGTGGGTTGGGTTTTTTTATCATTTTACACTTGCTTGGTTTACAGATGTCTTTGCCTGTAAGAAGATTTTGTGTCAGAGTTGCACTAATAAGGACTGAGTTTGGGTGTGGTACAAGGTTACTCTGGCTTTTCTTTAGTTTCAGGGTTGCTGTTGAAGAGTGTTTGAGTGATTTGGTGCCAATTGTTTGTACCCTCAGGTTGTCAGTGTTGAGCGGAAGATTGCACTGTTCATGGAGGAGTGGCTTTGTATGTGAGGAGAGGGACCTCAAGAAAAGAGAGCTGCATTTTCTCTTCTAAACAGGTGCAGTGTGGATCATGTCTAGAAATCAGTGTCTTGGCAGCATGAAAACTGACTTAAGCTTCCATAGTTGGCTACTTGGTAATTAAAGTACTTCAAAGGACCATTCATAAAGAATTCCTTCACTGGCTATAGCAGCACTTGCTGACGTAGGGATGATGTTCTCCAAATAACTTATTTGTAGAATATATTTAGCTACATTAATAAAAACAAATGATCATCTATTTATATATTATAGATACAGAAAAAAATAAGATACTTATTTTTATTAATAGTAGAGGAGATATCCCTGGCTGTGGCAATGCTTTTGTAGGCTGAGGGAGTAGCCTGTGCTTGGGAGCTGCTGCTTTCACATGATAAAATGAATCTCAGGCAGTGGTGGCCTCTGGCCATGGAGCCAGACAGGCTTTTGTTGGACAGTAATTCCCAGCAGGAATTGTTTGTGTGTGCCCCTTTGCTTTTTAGTGCAACAGAACAATTCTGGCAGCTGTCCTTTATCCTCTGTCCTCTTTTTTTTTTTTTTGCTGCTCTCTAATCCATGCACGAAATTACCAGCCAGCTCCTGAGGCATGGGATATAGTTCTTGCTAATTCTGTTAAATCTTGCTGCAGCTGTGTTAAACAAATGATTTAAAGTTGAACTGGGGTATTGCAAAGAAAAGGGGAAGAGAGGACAGCAATGGGGGAAGGAGATACTAAAAATACAAACCACCAGGCAAAGCAGATATGGTTCAGTGACTAAAAGCTAAATCAGCAGGAATTTGAGGAGCCTTTAATATGACATTCCTGTTTCCATGCAGATAGCAGGCAGCAGGTGAGGAGCTGTGGGCCAGCCAGGGAGGAGATCTCTCCCAGGTGAGCCTGGTGCTCTTTGGTTGTTCGTGCCTTCCAGAGACTCCCCTCTTCTGTGACACTTAACAGAGCTGGGTTTGTGCTGCTGACCTTTCCTCTGCACCTTTAACTCATTGTGAATTTCCTGGAATTTCATCAGGGAGAGTGGAAATCAGCTGGAGGAGGGGAGGTTTGGCATGTGAGGTGGCTGCAGGGCTGGAGCCTCAGTCCAAGGCTGCCCCTTGGGAGTGGATTTCGGCAGCAGCCAATTTGTGTGCACTTGTGCAAGGCCGGGATCAATTTCTTCAGCAGTATTTTGGGAGGATCTGCCTCTCTAGAGCCTCAGTTTTGCTGAGGGCAGGTGAAAAAGAGATTCTTGAACCACTTTATCCATTTTAAAATGCTTTTGTTTGCTCTCAGGGGTTCAAAAGCTGCCTAGTAAATGCAGGGGTGTAGTGACAGGATATGCCAGGCAGACAGGGCTCAATGTGGACAGCTCTGTGTGCACAGGCAGCTCCCCTGGGTACCACTGCTGCTGCCTTCACGTGCCCCTCTCTCCAGACACACGTTGGGAAGCACTGAAGATGATCATGTTGATATTTAGCTTGTCACTGGAAATTAGCACTAACATGCAATTCATAAATATGCAAATAAGGTGCTGAGCAAGAGCCTCAGAGGATATTGTGTTAGTAATACCTGATTTCACAATTCTTTAATTTCTTGATTTGCTGTGTTTAACACCTTGAGCACAACAGAATGGCAGCAGGTTAAACATCTGGAGTTCCAGAACCTGAATCTAAGCTGATTCATGAGCTTGGTGCAAGGAAGGCAGTTTATTTATAAAGTCTTTTTCTGCAAATCCAAATCAAGGATTTTCTCTGGTAGAGGGAGCTTGAGTTTATTTATGGACAAATAAAGATACATGCTGGCATTTCTTGTTGTGTTTGTAGTTCAGCAAGAACGTATAGTGAGCATCAGAATAAAGCTCAGGATTGGTAACTGATTTGTCTTTGCCCGTTCCAACGAGAGCATAACTTCCTGCACAACCACGTCCTGGCTAATTAACTGGAATTTTCAAATAGGTGGGCAATTTAAATAAGCTGGCAGCTTCCAGGAGAGCACTAGTGGTGTGTTTGGGTACACATGTGTTTGCCCTGGAATTGCCCTGTTCCTGGTGGGGCCCAGAATGGTCCCTGACAGCTGCCACTGCCACGACAATGGAAGACAAAGCTGGAATGCTTCTCTGCCCCCCTCCAAGAGCTCATTAATCAGTTGTTAATTAAACTGTTCCCTACAGAAGTGTTGAGGAGGGGGCTGGGCCATGTCTGAGCAGGAGGCGCTGGTGGCAGTTGACAGTGCCACGGTGGCAGTTCCACAGTGGAACCCTGCAGTCACAACGCTGCGACACCTCCCGGGGCAGCAGGGCCTCGGCATCTGTCCTACAGGGACCTGGGAATGGTGGGCCAAGGGATGGAGGCCCCCGGCAGCACGCGGGGCCCCAAGGCCGACCTGAGCCAGCGCAGCCAGCAGATGCGTGTCCTCGTGGGCCTGCAAGGTACTGCCTCGGGCCGCTTGGGGACAGGGGGGTCACAGCCCCCTCGTCCCACGTGGTACCATCGGCTGCCTGATGTCCCCCAGAGCAAGGCAGGAAGATTTTCGCTCAGTCCTGCGAGGAAAAGCTCCGGCAGAACAGGGAGCTGCTCCCCAGCCTTAAGGCGGCCTTGCAGGAGGACTCCAGTGTCCTGGACTTTGTCCTGAAGGTACCAGCAGGTCCCTCCTGCTGCACCCCTGCCTGGTGCTGGCCCTGCACCCCCAGTTCCTCCAGGAGCTGGCAGCACAGGCCAGCAAAAGATGTGTCATTCCCAGGCTGACAGTGACCATCTTTGTCCCTCCTCTGCCCACAGTACAACAAACTCCCCATTAAGGATGCTTTCGGAGAGGGCCAGGAGCTCGTTTCAGCCACTGAGAGCCTGGAGGTAACGGCAGGGCTGCGAGCAGGGGCTGGGGCTCTGGAGACACTGAGAAGAACAGTGCATGGCAGAGGGACATGCTACCAGCACCAGGACAACCCTGCAGGGCTGCTGTGGAGGCACAGGGTGTTCATGTCTGGTCCCATGGGACCCATCCATGCAGCCCCTTTGTCCCAGCAGACCTCCTGGCTGTCCCACTCCCCGTGTCCTGGCACTGCCTGTGTTCCTACAGGGTGCAGTTGCATCCCTGGCAGAGATGCTGTCTCTGCCCTTCACTGCCTGTCCCAAGGTTGTGCCCTGGTTACAAACCCGTGGAGATTGAGGCACTGTGCTCACAGAGCTGCCTTTGCCCAGAGGCCTCGTGCAACGACAGAGCGCTGCTGCTGCTCTCTGATAACATCCCCATCTGGGCCCTGATCGATTTTATTGATCCCCAGCCTTGCTCCATGTTATGCAGAGTCCCTAAGCCCAGCCCAGCCCTGCCACCAGCAGTTGCCCACCCCTGCCTTACCCCATCCAGCCCCCAGAGCAAAGCTTTCCCAGACACCATCCTGTCAAACCAGTGACAACATCCTGGATCAGTGTCTCAGTGTCCCCAGCTCTACCTTAGGGGGAGTTTTCTGGGCAGCACCCCCTTCTCCTGCAGCATCCAGCCTGGAAAGTGGTCTCATGCCTATCCAGGTGGTCATAAAGAAGATCGAGGCCAAAGTCCATGACCAGGTGAAGGTGTGTGACATGCTGCTGCACCAGCTGAAGCAGTGGAGCCAAGCCAGGGATGAGCGCCAGAGGCACCTGCAGGATCTGCAGGATGCTGAGACGGATCCTAAGTGGCAAGAGCCACAGTTGCAGGTAGCTGGGAGCCCTTCCTGGTGTGCCAGCACCCATGGGGGCTTTAATCCAGCCCCTGCACCCCCAGCTGGGCACTGGGCTTGGCACACGTAGTCACTTTGTGTCTTCCCCCTGTGTCTGCTCCAGACCATTCGCCAGCTGGGCAATGACATCGAGAAGATGCTCATGAAAATTCACAGTGGAGAGATCGTGACCAACCTGTACCTGAGGCTGCAGGAAGTCCTGAGGAGGGTGAGCTCCTCCTCACTGTGCCAGTGTTTCACCTGCTCTCCCTGCAAAGGCACGGGGTGCCCAAGGAGCTGTGTCCCAGGGGACACCCTGCTGGTCCCTTCTGTGCCCTGTCACAGCACGGGGGACCCCGGTGGGTGACGTGCTGTGGCTCCCTGTGTGCCAGGAGCTGGTGTACCTGCCTCAATACCTAGACCTTCTGTCTGGGATGACTGTGATGTACCACGAGGAGCTCACACCCCGGACTAGCCTCAAAGCCAACGATGTCATCAAGGTGAGATAAGTGGGGCCCTTTCCCACCCCTCAGTGCCCTCAGACAGCACCACGTACCTGGGCCTGAGAGCCTTCTTTCAGCAAGGGGCAAAAGAGATGGAGCTGAGGTTGCCCACAGCACCCAGAGGCCTCCATAGGTTCTCCCAGGTCTCCCTCTTGTCCCCTGGGACTGGGGTCAGCTTGTCTGAAGTACCAGCCATGGCAAAGGCAGTGTGTCCCACACCCCAGACCACCTCACCAAGCTTCCTTCACAGCCTGTTTGCATGGACTGGGATCACTTTTGACACTAGGCATCCCAGGAGCTCATCCGGTATCTCAAATCACAGATTCATGGAATGGTTTGGGTTAGCAGGAACCTTAAAGCTCATCTCATTCTAGCCCCTGCCATGGGCAGGGACACCTTCCACTCTCCCAGGTTGCTCCAACCCTGTCCAATCTGATCTTGGACACTTCCAGGGATCCAGAGGCAGCCACAGCTGCTCTGGGCACCCTGTACCAGGATGTCACCACCCTCACAGGGAAGAATTTCTTCCCACATCTCAATCTAAACCAATACTTGAACCTAATAACCAATCTGTAGAAAGCTCCAACTATCTTTGGCAGCAACTCTTCCCTTCTCTGTTATGCTCCAGAAACTCATGGCTGAGGCGGGACCCCAGGTCCGTGTGGAGAAGCAGCTCAGGGACCAGTCCTTGGCTGAGCAAAGGAAGCACATTGAGAGCCTCCGGCACCAGGAGGAGAGCGAAAAGCAGCAGAGGCAGGTGAGCTGGGCTGTGGGGCAAGAAGGGCTGGGGCTGTGGGGCAGGTGAGCTGGGCTGTGGGGCAGGAAGGGCTGGGGCTGTGGGGCAGGTGAGCTGGGCTGTGGGGCAAGAAGGGCTGGGCAGGCAGGGCTGGGGGTGTGGGGCAGGTGAGCTGGGCTGTGGGGCAGGCAGGGCCAGGGGCAGGGGGCAGCCTGCAGTGCTGAGCCCCCAGGGGTGACAGTGACTGTCCTTGCAGCAAGCTGTGTCCATGCTCTCTGCAGAGCAGGACCAGAGCTCCTCGGAAGCGCTGGTGGGTGAGTGCCTGGCAGGGGGCAGGGCGGGGGGATGTGGACACACACACGGACATCCTGCCCTGCTCCTTCCCTGCCACCCCAGGTGCTGACGTGGAGGCCGCCATGGCCAAGATGCAGCGTGAGGCCTTTGTGACCGACAAGATGGAGAAGGCAAAGACTGCCCTGCAGTGCTCCTGCCTCTGGGTAATGAAAAACCCATTCCTGCTAAAACCTGGGGCTGCTGGAGCGCTGGGGAGCTGCAACCTCTCTGCTCCCCACCCCGTTTCCCTGCGCAGTTATTTGCTGTTCTCTCCCTGGAGCCCCACAAAGCCCCTCTTTGCAGGCAGGCACTGCCCCTCTCCATGAGCAGAGATTACAGAGCTCCATGGTGCTGTAACCCCCCGGAGATCCTGCTTCCAGCAGGAGCACCTTGGGCTGAGTCCTTGTGTCTCCCCTGGCCAGGACATCCCCAGCAGCATCCAGGCGCAGAGGAAATCCCTGGGGAACTTGCAGCAGCACATCAACGAGTGCAACGAGACGAAGAACGTGCTGAAGAAGACACTAGAGGAGCTGGAGTCGAAGCAGGCTAAACTGAAGTTTAATCAGCCCGTCAGCACCACCAGGTGCTGCTGGCCTCTCACAGTTGTGCCAGCCAGGCCACCACCTCTGGGGGGGACATGTCCCAACAGGCACCCTGACCTCCACCCCACTGCAGCCACGCACTCCTCCCGCACCGGGAGGGTTTCTGAGCTCCCAGCTCTGCTGCTGGCAGAGCACCCAAAGCTCCCACTGGGATCCAGGAGCTCCCTTTCTCCTTGCTTGGTATGGGAAGTGCTGCCAGCAGCATGGAGCTGGCCTGTAGTTGGGGATGGGGCAACCTGAACAGCTTTTGGAGCAGCTTTGGGGTGCCCCTGCACCTCTCTGCAGCTGTGTGATGTGAGTGTGGCTGCTCCAGGCTGCGGGAGGAGGAGCTGAGGGAGAACCTGAAGCAGGAAGAGGCCCGGCTGGAGCAGATGCGAGCCCAGATGCTGAAGAACCAGAAGCGCCTAATCGAGTTTGGGAACATCATTGACAACATGTTCCTCCGCTTGCAGGGCATCCCTGGCCAGGTACCACGGGGCTCCAGGGGAGCAGGCCCCTGCAGGCACTGCAGCACGGGGACACCTGGCACGGCCGCCACTGCCACCAGGGCCTGGCTGTCCCCATCAAGGTGGTTCTGTCTCCCCCAGGACTCTGGTGCAGTGGTGGGGCTGGAGCAGAAGCTGCAGCACTGTGAGCAGAAGCTGCAGTCCCTGAAGGAGAAGGTGGCAGCCCGGCCTGAGGACAGCACTGATGAAAACAGTGAGGTACGGGGGCTCCGGCCCTCAGTGACCCTGGGGACACACACAGGGCCCTCACAGACAGCCACCCAAGCCATCCTTCCTCAGCAAGGCCACAGGGAAGAGCCATGGAGCAGCTCAGCCCCAGATGGCACCAGGCACCCATGGTGCCAACCCATGGTGCTCAGGTGTGGCACTGTTGGGTTGCAACACCCACCTGCCCCCCAGCGCTTAACCCAGCTGTGTTTCACAGACTTTTGCCAAGGTCAGGAACCTTCTGGAGAAAAGAATTGCAGATGAAACACAGAACCTGAGGATTTCCTTTGAGGATGAAGACGCTATGGAAGATGGTAGGAGAGCACAGTGGGGACATGTCCCACAGTGACTGTCCCAGCCCTTGCCCCCTGGGATTTTTGGGAGTCCTTGCCTGTCTCCCACTGGCCCAGTGGACACCAACCCACAAATTGCCTCCAGGTCTCGAGGCTGACCTTGGCTGTTTCCAAGGCTTCAGACGTAGGTGGTGTTTTTAGGCAGGAGAGGGGGAGAACAAAGGCAGGTGGTGACAGGATGAGCACCAAGCCACTGCAGGAACAAGGAGAGATGTTGTGGTGCAAGAGGGAGCACCCTCATCTCCAAAATCACCTGGTTGTGAAGAATAATCAGTGCTTGGTTCTGCCTGTGGATGCTCCTGGAAGAAGCAAAGAGCTTTTGGCAGCTCACCACCTTTCTTTAGCAAAGCAGGAGCTGTGCCCACCACACTGCAGGTCCAGACCTTTACGGGAAGCCCCAGCAGTGTTGGAGATGGGCCACAGTGGTGGCATCACCAGGTCCCACAGGTCACCCTGGGTTGCTGGGGTGGAAAGGCCCATGAGGACTCTCCTGTATCCCACGAGCCCAACAAAATGTGCCAGCTCTCCCAGGGACATGGGCACAACCTCCAGACCCTCCCCAGCCCCTCCTCTCCACTCTCCCCTCCAGACACCTTGGATTTTGAGGACGAAGACCATGACTACATCCCCAGCCGGGAGGACATCAAGAAGCAGGGGCTGCAGCTGATCCGAATGAACACCAGAAGACGCAAGAAGAAGTAGTGGTTTCTCCGTGTGAGCTTTGAAGGCCTCAGGCCACCCCCTGTACCCTTTCCCCAGCAGGAGCACCTTGGGCTGAGTTTTCTCAGTCTGCTTTTCCCAGCAGTTTTAATAAACCAGATGTTCTTCATTCCTCCCAGTTTCATGGTAAGGCTGGAACAGGTGGTCCTAGGTTACTTCTGTCACTCACAACACGTTGGGGTCCATCCTGAGCTTGGTTTGGAGGTGGGGATGGGCTGGATTAGGGACAGGTTCAGCCCCTGGAGCAAAGCTGGGGCTGGTCTGGCTTTCTCCCCCTTGGTGCTGTGGGGCCAACACCTTCCCAGGATCTCAGGGGCTGCAGCCTGTCTGAGCCAGTGATGGGGAAATGTGGGGAATGGCTGAGTCCTGTGGGGTCCCAGGGTGCGAGTCCTCATGTCCATGCATGGGAGCAGAAGAGCAGAGTCTACCCGGAAAGGAGAGACCCAAAGCTGAGCTGAGCCCCCAGCCTGGAGCCTCTTCCCCCACTGCTCCTGCAGGCATGTCCTGCAACTCCTGCCCTGACCCTGGAGCAAGCCCCAGGTGTCACCAGGGCTGCAGGAGGGTCTGGGGGTCAGCAGTGTCCTAGTGTGACCAAGGACAGCAGAGGCTGCTGCTCCAGGGTGGGATCTCTAGTCCTGCTGAGGGGCACCCACTGTGTCCCCTCTCCTCTCGTGCTGCAAATAGATGGTGCTGTTTCTCCAAGAACAGCTGGAACCAAGGGGCTCTGCCTGCACTCCTGGACAGAGAGCCAGGACAGGGACACCTTGTCCCCTTCCACAGGGGAATGTCAGGGTCAGAGCAGCCTTTCCCTGCCTGTTCTGCTCGGTCCCTGTGCTTTGTGCTGGCATCATCAATGACATCGCCACCGAGGGGAGGAACAGCTGCTGCTCCCAAGCCTCTCAGCACTGCTCCTGATGGGTCTTGTGGAATGGGCATTATCTTCACAAAATACAGCACAACTTGAGGTTTTTCAGGGAAGCTCCAGAAATAACATCACGTGTCAGTAAAGGCATCTCATGGAGCTTCCCAGAATCCACAGCCACAGGTGGGCTCTTCTGCAAGTAAAGACCAGGCTGTAATTGCATATCCATCTGTTCATGTCGTGTTCTTGTGTGCCCACCACAGCCTCACCACCCTCACAGAGAAGAGTTTCTTCCCAATATCCCATCTATCCCAGTTCTCTGGCAATGGGAAGCCATTCCCCTGTGTCCTGTCCCTCCATCCTTTGTCCCCAGCCCCTCTCCAGCTCTTCTGGAGTCCCTTTAGGCCCTGCAAGGGGCTCTGAGCTCTCCTTGGAGCCTTCTCCTCTCCAGGTGAGCTCCCCCAGCTCTCCCAGCCTGAGAAATGTGTCAAGCTCTTGGTCTGGTCTTTCCACACTGTCTCTGGGGAACAGGGAAGTGGGAAAAGGTATAGAAGAGCTGGAGCTGGCTGGAGGCTCCAGCCTGTGTCCCATTTTTCTGGCTGGAAGGTAATTCAGGGGTGGTTTAGCTTCCTTTACAGGAGGAGCAGAGCAGCAGCAATGCTGAGCTCCTCCTGGCCTGAGCAGGGGATCCAAGGACTACCTGCTCCATCAGGAGCATCCACTAGATGTGTTCAGACACTGCATCCCAACCCCTCGTCACAGCTGCCAGAAGAGGGAAGGGCTGTCACCCCCAGCCAGCAGCTCCCAGGCACAGCGATGGAACTGGGAGCAATCAGAATGACTGCTCCTGGCTCTGCTCCTGGCTCCCCTGGATCTGGGAGAGACAGGAATGGGAGCAATCAGAATGACTGCTCCTGGCTTCCCTGGATCTGGGAGAGATGGCACCAGGAATGGATGTGACAAGTGGAGAAGAGGTACTGGGGGTGTGGGGAAGAGCTGGAGGCAGTGCCTTGGTTTCTGGATTTGAAAAGATGGGAAAAGGTGGGGCTGCAGGGGCTCTCCCATAGGGGAAAATATAATTAATTATAGAAGGAATAAATTAATAAGTAGGGAAGGGAAGGGGAAAAGGGAAACAACAGGACTGATGTCACCTCAGGTGACACCTCCTTAGGTGTCAGGCATGGGTGGTACAGCCCAGGGAAGGAGATGAGAGATTTCCTTTTCTGCCCTAAGGAACCTTTATTCTCTTCCTCTGAGCTCGGCTGGAGCTCCAGCACGGATGCTGCAACCAGTGCCAGGACTGGTGAGAAACCAAAAATAGGACATTGGGGAATTGCATGGAAGCATTTGCCATGTGGAAATATCAATCTCTGCCTTGGGAAGGCTGGGTTTGAGTGGGTTTGGGACTTTTTATTTTTAAAGGTGTGATGAAAATCACATGGAATGGAGTGCAGGGAAGGGTGGGCACAGCTGGGGATGTCACTGGAGCATCAGTGCTGGGTTTTATCCTCTGGGAAAATGGGAACCGGGTAAATCAGCCAGTCTGGGACCAAAAGCAGAGGCTCTGTTGACTGTTCTGGGGAGGAAGAGGCAGCCAAGGGATCCTTCTTGGAGCTGCAATGGTGGGATGTGGGATATGGGAGGTGTGTGTGTCCCAGCCTTTGGGGTGAGAGCTGCTTCCAGCCAAGGAAGCACAAACATTTTCCATTCCCATGTTGCTAAGAGGGTTCATAGGAGGGGATGGGGGTGTTTGGCCTGGTGAAGAGCAGGAATTGGCATCACAGCCACAGCAGGGCTCAGCACCCTGGGCCAAGCAAGGTGTGGGGCTGAGGCAGTGCTGGTAAAGGAGGGAAGGACCACAAGGAGGTGGGGCCCATGCTCTGACCCTCAGCAAGGAAAGAAGTGGCTGGCAGCAGAGCACTGGGTGGGGCTGGCAGGTCCCATGAGGCAGCTTTCCTCCACAGCAGAGACCACGGACCACCTCAGACCATTTTGGTGGCCTCCTCTGGGCCTGCTCCACCAGCTCCATGTCTGTGCTGGGATGAGCTGGAAGCAGCTCCAGAGAGATCTCAGGAGAGCAGAGCAGAGGAGGAGCATCCCCTCCCTCCCCTGCTGCCCACCATGGGAGAAGCCCAGGAGACACTCGGCTTTCTAGGCTGCCAGTGCCCATGGCCAGGTCATGTCCCATTTGTCACCCACCAGAACCCCCAGCTCCCATCCATCCATCCACCCATCCATCCCTCCATTTACCCCTCCCCAGTCTGTGCTGGCCCTGGGGATGTCCCTGACCCTGGCCTCAGCTGGGCTGGATCAGCCCAAGGGCTCTGTGCAGAGGAGATGGGATGCAGGGGCTCTGTGCAGAGGGAGGGGATGCAGGGGCTCTGTGCAGAGGGAGGGGATGCAGGGGCAGGATATTGGGGTGCAGGGTGGGATAATGGGATGCAGGTGGATGATGCCCTCTGGGAAGCAACCACTGATGCAGCCCATCCATCCCTCTGCCCACTCCTCCTGTTCCTCCGCCCCAGCAGGTCCTAGGGGACCCAAACTGGGGTGACTGGGCACAGGTGCTGGTGGTGTCTCCTGGCAGGGCTCCCTCCCACTGTTGGGGGGACACAGTGGTGCCTGGGGGCAGCATGTGGAGGGCAATTCCATCCCCTGCTCAGGCTCTGTCTCCGCACTCCCATCCCAGCCCCACACCAGCAGCACACAGCACCCCAAGGCACATGAGATGAGATCACATGAGCTGCTGTCACATGAGCCTCCTTGTGCCCCCTCATCCCAGAGCTGGATCCCAAGAGGCTCTCCCACCACACCCCAAGCTAGGTGTAAGTGAAGCACAAACCCCCCCAATACCCATTTTGAGCCTTTTCCAAGGGAACAGGATCAATAGGCCACAGGGTAGGTCACTACCAGCCTCAGAACGTGGGTGCCCAGGGATGTGGGATGCCCAGGGCCATGGGGTGCCCCCATTCGGTGGAAGCCACAAGGGGTTGCAGACAAGCCAGGTCAGCCGTATTTATTGAGAACGGTTGTGGAGGGATAAAAATATTTCCACTACTCTATAAGAATTTATAAACCTATACTCTCTGATACGTTAATAAACGCCTCTAGGACCGTCATGCCAGGGGAGGGGCTTCTGTAAGAAAATAGCGAGATTAAAAAAAGGAAAGCACTAAATATTCCCTGTAGGGCCCTGCCGGGGGGGCCCTGCCCACGGGGGCCACGGGACCCCCGCTGGCATGGGGACACGGGGGGCACAGGCCGGGTGCTGCCCTGGCACCCTGCAGCCCCAACCCCCGAGCCCCGGCTGGGCACAGCCCCTGCCAGCCACGTCCCACCCGGGGGACCCCAGCTCAGGGGCCCTGATGGGGACAGGACATCCCCACAGCAGCCAGCTCCCACTGCTCCCACTGCTCCCAGTCCTGCCTGCATCCTCACCCTCCCCTGCGGGCTTTCCCGAACCCAGCAGGGGTTTGGATCCTTCTCCCCAGGGATGCTGCGAGAGGCGGCCAGGGCTCACCCTGGGGACACACAGTGGGGCTCTGCAGGAAGCAACACAGCTAGGGACATCCTTGGGGACACAGGGACACTACACAGAGCCCTGCAGGGTGGTGACATGGCTGGGGACATCCCAGGGGCACACACAGATGCAACATAGCTCTGTGGGAAAGCAACACAGATGGGGACAGTCTGAGGAGCGGGGAGAAGCTGCAGTGCTCTGTAGGGCAGCAACACCAACCAGGGCATGGTGGGGAACATGGGGACATGGGGGACATGGGGACACGCAGCAGCGCTTCGCTGGGAAGCAGCACAGATGGGTACATCCTTGGAGAATACACGGGTCTGCTGTGCCAAGAAGCAGCAGGGACAGGGACATCCTGGGCATACAGGACACCACAGAAAAGCAAGTGGCAGCAGGGGCTGAAATTCCAGCCAGGGCCGGTGCTGTTGCCATGGGGTGAGAGGTGCCATGGGCAGAGGACACTCATTATTGCTTTACAGGGCAAACATCACGGCAGGCTGGGGGTGCCCAGCCTCTGATTTGGGGTTCAAGGGATTTTCCCTGGCGACATTGATTCCCCAGTGCTCCTTGTGCCACAGCCCTGCTGTCACTCAATGGGGACAGGGTGAGGACACAGGGCTGGACACTGACAAGCTTCTGT